CACGTCAGATTAAAAGGCCCGCGTTTGCACCACAAGGCGATGCTGCAGACCACTAGGTAGACCGGTCGTAGAAATTTATGTTATACAACTTTTAGTCAATCTACACAAATATTATCAAAAGCTTTTTTTCTTTTAAAATGTGTTCAGATTTTGTAAAAAGTATAAGTCAAAATCGCAAAACTTAAATTTGATATGAGTTTCTTAGTTTTTAACTAATATAGTGGCGAATTACAAAAAAATCTTTTCAATGAAAATTAATCAGTTAAATAAAATAATTTAATAAATTACTAGCTTTTTCCCGCGACTACGTTCGCGTTACACCTCGAATCGTTCATGCATTGATTTAAATGATTTTTTACTTCTTTATAGAGAGCTAGTGAGCATAGATTTTTTTTTATTTTTCATCTTTTTTTTATTTAAGAGCACTAATACTCTCTTTATAGGTTATTTTTTATTCTTTGAAGGATAATTGAGGAAGATATATTTCGTTATGATGTCACTAAATAAACCCTTGTATAAAATTTTATACTGTCTGGTTTATAATGTTGTAATGCATTTTCGTACAGCAAACTTTTATTCCCTTCCCTATTCTACTCCCTAAGTGTATAAATTTCATAAATTCGCTTTATCTTTGTGCCAATTTTTATGTGTATAATCCAGAGGTCACCAAGTTTTATATAAATTTTTACTAACTTTACCCATTTGATTGATGAACTTCAAAAATGTCTTCTAATTCTTTTTGTAGGATTTCATTCTTCTAGACCAAATAGTAAGGAATTTTCATACAACAAACTGTTCCGACATAATTTTACTCTCTAAGAGGATGAATTTCCTAAAATCGCTTTGTGAAGCTAATTCACTAATGTCGTTTAAACGAACCTTTGTGCTAATATTTATGTATCTAAAGCTGGCGGTATGAACTCACTCCTAAAATATCTAAAAACTTAATATATAATCTAACTGACACACCACTGACAATGACAAATAATTTATTTCTGGGGGTATTGTGTGTAGGTGTTTTTCAGGTATGTTTTAGTATTTAGTCGTTTTACACAAAGAAATAGCCATTAAGCACTATAAAAATACTTCATAACAAATCTACAAATATATACCTTTCATTTAAAAAAAGAATCATCAAGATTGGTGAAGCGGTTTCGGGGGGATGAATGCAACAAAAAAACCCTTTGAGCTTTTATATATGTATGAATTAATTATTTTTCCAACATATTTTACTTTGCAAATTTTTATAAGTATTCAGACTCGCCAATATCGTAGTCCACCGTGTCCATCCGCGCATAGGAACAAGTTGACTGCGTAGCGTATTGCGTATTAATCGATTCTGAAACTTTCTATGTCGTGTATAACATGTTACGCAAGTTTATTATTTTAATTTTTTTTAAATTTTAATTTTAATCTCGATTTTAATAGATAAATATGTGAAATGCCACCTGAATATCTTCCGCCATGACATGTTTTTACTTTTTTGTTATGGTAAAGTGATTTGTATAAACTTTATTCAATAATGTATATTTTCCTCCATTTGTGATTTTTTAATTTTAAGCGAAAATTAAGTATAACATTTTAGGAAAAAGAAACACTGTAATATTTAAAAGAATAAGAAGAAATTAGTCTTATTTTGAAAGAAAAATATAGAAAAAACTCTTTCTATAGAAAAGTCTTTATACTAACCAGAATCCGGTGACATATACGCGGTCTCACCGGAAACATTATCTCTGTCTTTGTCTCACCGGAAAGAATATCTACTTTTAATAATGAACACTTCAGAAAACACCAGTAAAACATTTATTATTTGAGATTAAAACTCGAATGAAATTATAAATATTAGTTACCTATGTTGTTATAGCTTTTATAGGCCTGTTTAACGACTTAATAAGTTACCTAGCGAAAAAATCTGTGCGCGTACCTACCACTATTGTTACAGGTTAATTTTTTAAAGAAATATGTTACACAAATTAAAGATGCTAAAATTTTAATGGTATTACTTGTGCATTATTGGCCTTATAGTGCAATTAGTTGGAATTATATCTTCTTTAAATATAATTAGACTTTTTAACGACTTTTAAGTTACCGAGGAAAAAATCTGTGCACGTACCTACCACTATTGTTACAGGTTAATTCGTTAAACAAATGTGTTACATATTATTCGTGGTATTAGTGGTATTATATTGGAATCAGCTTGGCATTAGTGGGGCATTATATGAGAAATTTTGGTATTTAATTTGTATTTTTGGCATTACTTTGGCATTAGTATAGAGACATTTGTCAGCGGTTTACTGCTTGTAGATAATCAAAAAGTTTTTAGATAAAATTTGATTTTTATGTCAGATCATTTCTATGAAAAATTACATTAGATTTTTATTAAAGACGCTGGGTAATTAAAACATTGACTAATAAAGCTTGTCCACTTTAAATAATGGGTCACGAAATATCCTCCTTGGAGTGTTTGGGTTAAGGGGTGTATAATAAATTAATCTTTGTTTTATAATAAAAACCATAAAACATTTATTTGTGAGTAAAATAATGCAATGGTTGGATATCTCTCCTTTATAATTAGGTGACTAAAAATACACTAAAATAATTAGAAAATAATCTTGTAATTATTTAGTAATTACGTCAATATTAATTAATTGACTTTCTAGTCTATTTTATTTTATGTACAAATATATTATTAAATTTTAATCTAAGCATTAAGTAATAAAACACTTTGTGCCCTCTTATATCGTAAGAGGTTATGAAATATACTCCTGGTTACACCCCTTACAGAAAACAGTGTAAGGGGTGCAAATAAATTGTATAATCACTGTTTTTATAATAAAAACTATAAAACATTTCTTATTTGTGAGATTAAAAAAACAAAACAATGCATTGGTTAAAATAAGTACATTCAATACATGTATTGTGTTAGACATTTATATGCCCAGTATATTTTTGTTTAACAAACCAATCAGGAAAAAATCCAAAACCTACAGTTATAGGAGGTATAAGATGATTAAACTTATATAATGACAACTACTTATCGGATAACAAATTAATTACTACTGTCAGCTGCTGTCTAGGTAGAATATACCTAGAGTACCTACACCTACCTATGATGTAGGTAGATTAAGGCTTATTTTGACTTTACGTCTCACTTCGGTGTCACAAGCTGAATTTTTCAGGGATGGAAGTACAGTACATGATATGGGGACCCTTATTCCGAAAGTAGTACAAAATTAGACCGGGTAAAAGGGCACTATCATCAAAAATCGATATATTAATACCAGCGTATAGAGAAAACAAATACTTATTTTTTGATTCAGTACACAATAAAGTCTTCGTAGGGAGTAATTTTTTATAATTATTTACAAAAAAACATTTCCATTAGCGCTTATGACCAAAAAAACTTTAAACATGAATAACTCATTTCAATCATGCGAAAATTTGGTTTAAAAATAGACTTTTTTTAATATAACTTTCATTTAACGAAAAACGAAGGCCTAAATGAAAAAAAACAATTTAAAAGTTTCGCTTATGTCTTGACAAGGTGTCAAAGCAAACCCCATATTTTTTGCTTTTAAACTAATAAAGATATATCAATAAACAATTAGCGATGTAATGGTTTTTGCGCGCGCTGGCCGACTGCCGCCGCTGCGCCGAGATTTCCTATACCCTTGTATATATGACGTCATGGTGTGGCAAATGTAGCATTTTAATTCGATTTGGGCTCCCTTATATGGGATAACAGAAACATTTTCAATGTTAAAAATTTCAATGTTACCGATGATACTCGAAAAGCAGCTTTCTGTAAACAAGTCGACAAAAGCTATGTTTCTAATGCCGTGTCCAGACCAAGACGACAGAAAGTGAATACGATTTTGAGACAAAAACAAGACAAACCCTAGACAAAAATGAGAAATTCAGACAAGACAAATTTGAGACAAAGTGTCTATACCGCGAGGATAAAACTACAACAAAGTTCAGTGTATGCGAATCAGTTTTATTAATCATGTGACCTTTCCAGCAGGAATAAGTTAAAGATATATTACTAACAGCCAGTAGTGTTGTCAGCAGACTCGCCATCCCATGTTGCAAAAAGAAACCCCAAATGTTTTTGTTTTTATTTCTCTCGTATACTATATAGCTTTAATATTTCTTATTTTCTTCTTAACATCATCAAACGAGTTTATATTTAATGCTAAACAAATCTCCTCCAATGCATCAGCTTTCTTGTAACAATTTTTGTAGTCCTTGTTTTTACGGTCCCATAATAATAAATGCGCTCGATAAAGCTCTATTTGTTTGCAGGTATTTTCGGTGTTCCATTTTTTCCGAATTTTTTCACTTCTGACATTTTTTCTATAAAGATGGAGCACTCCACCGCATATCGTATGATCGAAAGAAACGGCGTCCAGTTGGCTGCAAAATGACGATAGGTGACATTTTACATATAAATTTACATATAAAAACAGCGATCTTCATTTCATAGCCATTGCTGACATCGTTTTTTTTCGATCACACGGTACTAATGTCATATATTAGCAGTACCAGCACTCCACAGTATTAACTGTGTGATTTCATCGGTTTCCTACTTTTGGCAACGCACGACATCCACACTGAACCGGCAACTTGTCGTAAAATACACGACAAAACAGAGACTTTTTGAACTTGAAAGTCTCCGAATTTGGAAACAAAAAAATGAGACAAACATGTCGCAGAAATGTATTGGATTTGTCGCAACTTTATCGTAAAACATGAATGTTTCTGTTTTGTCGCTGTTTTGTCTGCTTGGTCTGGACCCGGCTTAACGCGGTTAAAAACTTTCAGGGCAATTGTGATGTACCTTTTAGGCAGGCATGTTGAATCTTTTAGAATATCTAATCAAAAAAATACACACATATCAAGTATATTTCATCAGTGGGCTGTTCAATCAAAAACAACATGTTTTACTATTAAGTCGCTAGATAAAAATTAGTAAAATACACTCACAGTCATGTTTATAGGTGAAATTCGATTGTCTACTGCGTTGGATGGTTCCACTCTATATTGCTGTCCGGAATGTCACATGGCTCTGCCTGAAAGAGACCTCCTGGAACAGCACATGATGGGACATAACATGGAGCGTAGATTCGTGTGCGATATATGTGGAGCGGCTCTGAAACGTAAAGACCACTTGACCAGGCACAAGCAGAGCCACAATCCCGAGAGACCCTTTGTATGTTCTGTATGCCTCAAAGCCTTCAAAAGAAAGGAGCAACTGACTCTGCACTTCGTCATCCACTCAGGAGAAAAGAGGCACATTTGTAGCGAATGTGGAAAAGGTAAATATATCATTTATTTTTCGTTAGGGTTTAAAAGATGTTACTAGATTTTTACTAGATTACTAGGTTTATAATTTTATTTTCATTGACATCGTTTGGACAGTCATATGTCTTTTTGAAGACTTTTTAAGTAACGGCGTTTTTTTTCAAAAACTCTTTCAATACATCATCATAAAAATGTGTGGTCCGTTTTAGGTCTTGTAAAAGTTCAGCTTCTAACGAAATTATTGTTAAATTATTTAATCTTGCCTGTCCTTAGACATTTAATCCCACGAATTCGGAAGAATATAAACATTGTAATTAATTTCCTTATCTAGGGTATCGTGAGTTTTAGTGTCGTCACTGGCGAATTAGCTAAAACAATAACCGTACACAATATTGCCAGATTACCAATTGCCACTGCCTAATAGATTTTATGTGCCAAAATGATTTTACAGTCAAATAAAATAATAAATGAAATAATTTGGATACAGATAAGATACAAATACAGATAACAGACAAGCAAATTTCTAATTTGCTGCATAATACAAATCTTTCTAAAACAGTTATTTAAAATTGATCGTCTAAAATAACATGGACTGTTTCTTACATAGATCTGTAATAACATCGGAACTGGCAATACTGCATCGGCGGCATCGAGACATCGGGTGCAAAGCATCCGTGCTGCGGTAACGCACTGCTGTTGCTTGTCCATATCCATGTTGTGTCCATGTAATATTAAGTTGCGGCCGTGCGTTCGATTTCGAATTGGGATGCGTTTTTTAGGTAATAATAAGACGTTGAACAGGTGGCGTTTGTTTTGTATGATGTTTCCGGCTTTGCAACCGTAATAAACACATTACTAACATACTATTTAGAAAAATAAAACAATGTAGGTCCTTGTAGGATTTGTAGGTAGATATATAATGAAAATTGATCAGGTAAATATATTTTTATTTTGCGTCTGTCTTGAATAAATGGAAGGGTAGGCAATGCTTTTTTGCCTATATGTAATGCACGCCACTGGAAACAACCCATTTACGAAGGGGAGAGCAATACAACGTGTATCCAAACTTTACTTTTTCCCATTGGATTTTGATTGTTTTGTGTGTTTGAGAATTTTTGGTATCTATTTTTAAATATTTTGTTTATTAGTTTTTGGTGAATAGTTATTATCTTTCAATGCGTTTTTTGCTTTTTGTATTGCAGCATCTCTATATTCTGGGTCGGATATACAAATTAATCTGCCCGCCAAACCAATTATAACCGATCTTTTTTGGTTAGCTGGATGGTTGGATAAATAATTGAGATATCTTGAAGACCAGACCTTCTTTGTATACCATTCGGTTTTTATGGTTTGATTGGTATGATGCAAAGTAATATTCTTCCATATTAATTAATTTTTTCTTTTGGTATGGTGAGTATGGCTGTTAGACAGTCATCAACATACCGATAAAGATTTAGATTTTATTTTGACATCTTCTTTTTGATTTTATTAACTGACTAGTCTTTTATGTACTTAAAAAGACTTGAAAAAGACATATGATTAATGAAAATAAAATTATAAACGAAATCGAGTAACATCTTTAAAACCCCAACAACCTAAAGCCAAGAATAAAAAGAACAAATTATATAGTATACCAGGTCAAAGGAATTAAACCAAAAAAAAAATAATTTATTTGATATCTATTCTCGCAAAAGACAACTTTAGTAAGTATTTACTAAATCCAGAAACGGTTTTGAATTTTTTTTTAAATTAATGTCTATAATAATCTACAGGGTTCTATAGAAAGGATCATTTAAGGAAGCACACCCGATCCCACATTGCGAGGAGAGTTAAGGCGGAGTTGTCCCAACAAGGGAACGGAGTTCATATTTCTTCCTAGTCATTTTAAGCTCAAACCAGAATATATACACCAACATACTTATTCTAAGAAAAGTGATAAGAGTTAAATAAAGCAATTATTATCAGAAATTCTGATTTTGCTGTTAATCTAATTAAGGAAAAAAAGTTTTAAGTGATTATAAACTTAGCAGCAAAGAAAAGTTGGATTTCCTCAAAAATGTTAATCGTATTTAAACATTTGTTAAATAATTGACGAATATAGATAACACACCTAAATTTTCTAATATTTTGATACATCTATTTGTTTAAACTATCTATTGTTTTTAGAAAACAGTCGTGGCAAAACTGTAAAAAATAAGAATTGTACAATATGATCGAAAAAAAACGGCGTCAGCGATGGCTATGAAATGAAGATAGCTGTCATCGTATATGTAAAAAAGTTGTATGCGCATATTTGAAGTGAAACTTCTTACTAACAGTGAAGGAACAACTATTAAATTGAAGGATTTGAAGGACACGTTTCGAAAAGTGTAGTTTGAAATATCGAAAAAGAAAGCCCAGTCACTCTTATGGAGCATTAAATTACAAATTGACGACTCGGCCCACTATAGATGGTGCTAGTTTACGTCGTGTATATATAGTTGCAGAACAGTTCGTAGTGTATGTATGGTTGCTTCAAACGTTAGGATTGGCTCGGTCTTTAAATTCATTTTATGAATTTTGCGATTGATTTCCCTCTTCCGTCCACACAGTACTTCAAATACTCCTTTATTTATGCTTCAAACTATATTTAAGCTGCCTTTATTTTGTTTTTAATATAAAATGTATTTCTCGTACTTTTTATTGTATTCCGACTGAAACTTTTTTATGTTATATTATTCAAAGGCAGCCATATTTCTTAGTGCTTCTTGAACTATATACAACTGTGATGAACTGCAACGAGATGAATTTTCAAAGTATAAGCAGCCTGTAGAATAAATTTTACATATACCTTGTAGCAGGCTGAATTCATAATTTATTACCACAAAGATATAATTCTCGTGAAGGTATCTGGTGGTGTAGGCAGTGGCGGACTAAGCCTGTCGGGGGCCCGGGGCGGCGAAGCTAAATGTAGCCGGTCTGTTCAGATAATGATATACTTCTAATACACATTTTGTAAAAATTGAATGACGTATGTATAATGGTAGACAAAATTTAAGTATTTTTACAGGGTGTCCCAGGCTGAGCCTGCATTAGAAGTTTCTAGAGAACTGCAATATCTACATCCGAGATTTTTTGCATATCATTGTTTCACAAAAAACTGCCTGTCAAAAATATGTATATAGCCTAAATGTCAAATTTAGTGATTGCAACAGCCACTGTACCATAAGGAGAAGACATATCATCTATTTCAAAAATTAAATTGTCCGAATGTCATATAATAATGGCCGCAGCTATCATGGAATTGAGCGATTAAAAAATTATCATAAATATTTTTTTTTCAAATGGAAATCCACTTTTTTTTATTTCACAACTGTCAAAAAAAAAAGCTAGATAAAATCAAGAAAAATTTACGTTTTCAAAGTAAATCTTAAATAACTTAAAAACGATTTATTTTAGGTATAGGAATATGTATAGTTAAAACGTAACGAATTGAAAAACCTTTTCACTAGTGAAATAAAAAAAGTGGGTTTCCATTTGAAAAAAAAATATTTATGATAATTTTTAAACGCTCAATTCCATGACAACTACCGCCATTATTATATGACATTTGAACAATTTAATTTTTGTAATAGATAGCCACATGTCTTTTCTTTATGTCACAGTGGCTGTGATAATCACTAAATTTGACTTTTAGGCTGTACACATTTTTTTGAGAGGTAGTTTTTTTCGTCTAAAAATTTTAAATATTTTTTTCTCAAAAATGATTAATGTTAGATATAGAGTGTTTAACATCAATATTCATAGAATTTAAGTATGTAATAAAAAATAGGGGGGCACCCATTTAAAATAAGAAAGTTGCTGTCAACTTCCGGTATTTCCGGAAGTGCCGCCATGTTGAAAATATTTTTAATCGATAGATCTTGTTGTAAAACAATGATGTGCGAAAAACCTTCGATCTAGATATTGTGGTTCTCTAGAAATTTCTAATACACGCTCAGCCTGGGACACCCTGTATACTGTAATAATTATAATAAAAATCCATATAGATATAAATATGTTACTCATCAGCAGTGCCGTCTTTACGTAGGGACCTGATGGGCCCTGGCCCTCGGAGTATTAAGGGCCCCAGCTCTAAAAAGGCCTCAAAAATTATAACATCAATTTTTTAAAGCTTATAATAATATTTTTAAATCGAAAAACGAATGCAATTTGATGTGATAAAACAAGTAAGAGCAAAAGTAAAGTGTTTTGGTGTATTAGTGTTTTATTTTGCTGTTATAACACCAAAGGTTTCAACCCCAATTGTAATAAATTAGAGGTATTAAATTATTGAACATAGTTTTGCTGACGAGCCATATACTATACTCACGGGTCATATACTATATACTATACTCACTATACTCACGGGTGTAGATCAGGAAATCCCCGACCGAATGTTCGCATGTATTTAATGGCAAATTATGATGACAAAGTGATGGAAATACCGGTTCCACATATGTGCCGCGTTACTTTCGCGACCTTTCCAGGGAAATACCGCGACAAAATATCACGATTTTGTAAGTCCTCCAAGATTCGAGGGGCATGACACTCTGAATAGAATGACATATGTCAACTTTTGACTTTTTACGCTTTCAAAAAATTGTATTTTAAATTTCAATATAGAGTGCCACAGTTATTCAAGGAGGCTTGGAAAAATAGATTTGATGTGTTCATTCTTAATTTTTGGAAAAGTCAAAAAGTCTTTAGGACTTACGTCGGGACTGTATGTAGGATGGTCCAACAATTCGATATAAACTTTTTGAGATCGCGGACCCCTAAAAAATCAAGCAAAATTTCAAGGATCCTCCCTAATATGGCTCCAAAGACCCATCTCAACTTCCTCATTGGCTTACCACTTTTTCGATCATTACCACTTTTCGTGACGCATGTCGTGACGATGACGTTAAAGCCGGAGTCTCATGCATCCGAAATCCGATGACACGACGATCCGACGGTGCTCCTATTGGTCGAAATATTTTGACACCAATTTTTATCCGATATTTTTAACTAATCGTCCGACGTCGTATAAAGTTAAATTTTGTTTAACTTTTGTACGATATCGTGTGTTTTTTAACCTCACTTTTTTTGAAAACATTGGTTTTTAAAATCAAGTTTAGTGGGAAGTGGGCAATTTCGGGATATTTGGCGAGGAAGTTATTTTTATAAGTGTTTCTCCAATAATACATGGAATAATACATAATAATAATACATAGGAATGACAGGTCTAAATGTCAAAACTGTCAAATTTCGGAACGAACTTTCGGATGTATGTGACAGGCTTTTTTTATTTCACACGATAACTTCAAATTTCGGATGTCGTACCATCGGATTTCGGATGCATGAGACTCCGGCTTAACTCGTATGTCACAGCCTTGAATTTTTACTCCCAGCGCGCGTAAAGAAGTTTCACTTCAATTATATGGGGAATGCCATCGATCGTTATTTCCAAGCCAACTGGATGGCGTTTTTTTCTCAAAAAATCAAAATTCATAAACTAAATTATCTATCTATCATTATGGCCAATCTATCTTTATGTCACAATATTCAGACGTGTAAGACAGAAGGTAATGACATTCAAAAGACAAAGATTTTTTGAAATATTATGTAGCTTTGATGTCATGAACCAATCTTGTCGACACAATAGTTTTAAGTCCAATCGTAGTTATAATATTTCCAATCAATTATTCAATATATTTATTATTCGTTGTTCAGAAAAGAAATATATTGATAGTAGATAAATGCGATTACCATTTTTGATGAAACAATCTATTTTTTGTCTATAAGTAAATTCGAGAGGAAGTTTTAAAATTCTACTGTTTAATAACTCCAAAATTATTTAGAATGGAGATAAAAATTGTGTAAAATTTGGGCTGTGATTTAAAAAGACAAATAGGTATTGGTTGTATATACAAAAATTTAGGCATAAAATGCCCTTTTTCGGCTAAGGATACAAAACTTTTGGTGATATTCGATTAGTATATTAGACAGTGGAATTTCTAATTTTAGTATAACAAAAACTACACCGGCATATACAGAGTACAAGAACGTTTAGAGCGAGAAAAAAAATCACCTTAAAATTATATAGAGACTACCTCAGTTTTATAATGTGATAAAAATATTTTGTACTCTGTGAAATGCTCCTGATTTGGAAGTGATTTCGTTTCAAACTAGTCGTTTATTTAAAAAAAAACAATGCAGTACAAATGTTTTTAAAATTACTTTGTGGGATGATAATTTGTCCTGGCTATTTTTTTAAAGTTGTTTTATTGCTTAAAAGTTGATACGTATGTAAAAAGTAAAGTACGATCAAATTCAGAATAAATATAAATATCATTTGTCAATACATATTTGTTTTCAAGTATTTCCCCTTTTGTTATTCAGCTTTAAATAGCTGAATAGTTTTAATGCTGTAATAATTTTAAATTTTACAGCGTTTGATGTGTATATTTCCAACAGTAAATAATATAATAGATTCTTAAACTGGATACAATTAATTATAAGAATAAAATAGAGTCAATTAAAATTGTTAGTATTAAAATGCCTTTCGAAAATATATACCAGATACCGTAGAATAAGAAGTGTTTCTATATCATCAATCTTCATCATCAACCAGCTATACTAGGTCTGGTCACTTCATCTGCGTGGTCTGTATTTTAATACATGCGACAGAGATAAGTATAAATGACCGTTTTACAGACAGAGAGACACAATAAAAAGCGGCATACAGTGTTGCCATGTTTTTACGTTTGTAGGAAAATGTGTGCAGAAAAAAAATATTTTAAAAACTTTCATATATACTACTGAAATGAAGATAATATATCTAGATAAATATAATCTATTAAAACTGTGGTAAAATGAGTAACTAATTGTGAAAAATAAACTTCCAACCCTAGACGCAACATTTTTAGTAAACGGCTACTTGTGCGGTTTGAAATTTTGATGCAAAATCCGGCAATACCGCAACAAAGAAATGTAGATCAACCCAACATTTATCTCTTTTTAATACATTTTATTTTCCATTAAGCTGTCTACCACACTGTCTTAGACGTTAAAATCCAGACCACGTAGTTTCAATGACCAGATCGGTATATTTACCTATTGGACTTAAGCGTAAATAATTACACTATTCCTGTATGATTTTGAATCCCTCTCTACAAATAATCGGTTTAAACGTTAAATTAAGATTTAAACCCCGGTTAGATTAAGGTTTAAACCCTTCTCTTAAATGCAATCGTTCATCGCCTGAAGATGTGTAGTTTTATTGCACTATGACATGGATGTCTAGTTTTATTGACAAATGTTATTTATATATTATTCAATGAAACTGTATTCTGTATTTGAACGAACTTTTCAATGAATGACAACAGAGCGTTCTTAAATTAACTTTAATAAATAAATAAAAATAGTTTAAAATACAACCTGTAAAATTTCACTCAGCCAAGAACTCTTCATTTAATCCAATTTTCTTTAATAGTCCCCTCTTTATCTAAAGAAATAAAATTAAACATTTCAGAAGATCGAAAAAATCAGATATATAAGAGTCGTAAGTTATCTATAACATGCGCGTGCAGTGAATAAAAACAGATATTAAATATATTTTTATTCACCTTTGCTTTTAAAGAAACCGTTACTGTTAATTATTAAATTAGATAGTGGTCTATTTTTTAAACTAAGAGCGATTAAAATATCGTGATATTTGAAGACCGAGATAATTTGTGAAATATTCCAAACAGACAACAGATCTATTGATATGTTTATTCATTCATAATATGGACTAACGTAATTAATGTAATAAATGCTCATTCATTACGAATGTGTATAGGGTGTGCCAAATTCGAGCCTTATTATTTGGATTTCGGAAACTAGAGGAGATACGAGGTCGGGTAAATGGAGGCAAAGTATAAAAAGTCATCTTAAAAGTTTAAAAATTTGAATACCTCAGAAGATTTTTGACATATGATATGTCAACTTTTAAACATTTTAGCTTAAAAAATTGTAATTTAAATTTCAAAGTGTTACTACTGTTAAACAAAAATAATTCCTTTTTAACTAGTTAAAAAAAGCTACATAGATCCATAAACACACACACAACGAGGTTTTCAATATCCCAAAGGTAATAAAACTCAATGTCTCGAAACAAATTCGCAAAAAAATAATAAAATTAAAAGTTCTTTTATTGGAATTAAATACTCTGGTTATTTTTTGCAAACAGACTGAGGCTAAAAATGTCATCGTTAATGTTAGCCAGTTAACCGACAAAATATTATAAATATAGCTAAGCATATACTGGGTATTGCAATTTCTATGCCACACATATTATCTCCATCAAAATGCTCCATAATTAATATTTGGCCGTAGAGCGCCACAAATATTTAAAAAAATCTATCTCTTGTTAGCTTTCGCCATTTGAAGAATCTAACATAAAACTTAACGTACTATCCAAAAATTCGCAATAAAAACTGCCATTTTTAATTTCACAAAGCAATTAGGTATTCAAAAATCTAATTGAATTTTTGACACTTAACTATTCAAATATAATCTTTAAAATAACTGTTAAACTTATACTTAACTATGAAATATAAATTAAAATATAATTAACAAATCCCGTACAATATTCGTTTTTTTCCAAAAATCTCCAGAAGCATTTGGAATTTTTAGCTTTTTAAAGTGACATTTTCGCCAGTATCAAATTTTGCAATTTTGCCTCCATTTAACCGATCTCGTATCTCTTCTATTTTCCGAGATCCCGATGAATAGGCCTCAAATTTGGGACACCCTGTACAGTACGACAAAATTGATCAAGCTGAATTTGGTCGTTGACAGATAAAATTCTGTTCCCATAAGAATCTTTTTTTTTGCCATACAAAGCATGCTTGATTATAAAACTTTTTGATCGTACAGTATACTGGTATATTATGTTTTATGGCCACTACTTTTTACCAAAAAAATATTTTAATTTAAATTATTATTATTAATACCATGAACGCTCTGTATGATCTTTATAGGGTGGCAAAACAATTACATTTTCTAGATTTTTACTGGAAAAACTATATGTTTATATTCTTTTTAGTCTCGATATATTATGTTCAACTTAAATATTCATTTGATAAATGTATTTATTTAATTATAAGTTTTGCACCACTCTAGATAAAGATAATTTATATTTATAAGAATTCCCCATCTTCCTGAAAACAAAGACACAAGTACAAATACTTCCTATTTAGTTATGTAGGGATATAGATTATACGTGACAAACCAAATGCAATACTACAAGTATTTCTAGAAGTTAAAAATCTTGAGATAAAAATTTTATTGAAGCGAAAAAATTAAGCAATTCGAAAGTCTGCCAATATTATTATATATTTAGGTGTAGAACAGTAGCTTGGACAGAGGAACGTATGAAAGCTTTCAAATCGTATACAATTTTATATTTTTCTGATAGTCATTACGGATGTGGTCTAAATGTAAAGTTTTATTGTGTCAGTAAACAGTTGATCTTGAATTATGAATATGTAATTTTACTCGTTTCGTTTATACATGTAATCATATAAGTTTATATTTTTGTTGAATAAGCCAAGTGAATAAAAAGGAGATATTATTAGGCATAACAGAGATATTAAAACAAGGCCAGAACGATAATAAAAGGTGTAAGATTGTAATTTTTCTTCCCAAGGTACAAACCTTTCAGATCGTAGAGGAAAATTTTCAGGTAGGTTGAGGGAAAGTTTCAGACATATTTTATGAAGGTATTATTGTGCTATTATTCATGTAAAATGAAGAAATAGGATAGCTTTACTTTCACCTTTTATTGCAATTCCGGTCTTTTTATATTATGTCTCTATTGTAGAAGGGTAGTACATACTATTTGAAAATGGTGAAGTAATGTTATAATTCACTGTGCTAACGAAAGCTAAAGGCTCCAACTTTAATAGCCAAGGGTACAGAAGAAGAAATAACTTATTACTTCTTTTGTAGCCAAGGCTATTAATGTTTATACCTTGTTTTTTTTTTGTTTTTTAAGCTTCTATAACTTTTTATTCACATGGTTCTATATTTTTATGTTTAATCACTGGTTCTTGCGTCAGATATTAGCTCTAATATTATTCTTAAATTAATCCTAAAAAGGAATATTAAAAAATTTGTTAAGATAAAACTTTTAAACTTTTATTAATTTTTGTATGACTTTTTATGGAATGCTCCTTTGTCGAGGTAGATCTACTAATTTCTTGTTTAGATAATTATTAAATAAAAAAAAATACAATAATTTTATCTCTTAAAAATAAACTCTGGGATTTATTTCACACGAAAGCACCGCGTACACAACACGTTTTGCTATCAATTAAAATGCAATACCGCCTAGAAAATTGACGGCAGTTCTGTAGACGATATTTCGTCTTAAAGATGTATAAACATAACGTTTTACCTGTCATGTTATCGTGTTTACAATAATTAGTGACGTTAAAAAATATTTTACTAAATGTTACTACAGAAGTGTATTTATGGTTTAAATATCATTTGTATAATATTGTTGCGTTTTTGACTCGGTTCCTTGTGGATAAAAAAATCTAATTTATTTAACACTAATTAACAGAACAAGAAATGCCTAAAAACTATCAAACTTATTTATCTAACGAAATTTATTTAGCGCGGCAAGATACGCGTCGACCGTAACTTATCGTCTTTTCTTGCGTACTCGGCCTCGGTATTTTATACAACCAGTTAAACATGGGGAGGGGGGGCATAAGAAATTTGATTTTGAGGTCAATATGACTCCTACTTGTAGAGGACGCCACCTACATATTTTTTAACTGGTTTGAAGACTAATAACTTTTCGTCCGTACCTGTATAAAACTAGTTAGTAGAAAATATACATTTACAACGTTTTTTTACGTAAAAAAGGTCTCTTGGTAAAAATCGCTACGGGTAAGGGTTCTCGAGATATTTGGAATAGAAATTATCAATACCTGTCATCAATGATATAAATTAAACACGTTGAATAAATAGTTATTAGACTGAAATCATAAATTTGAAATGTTATTGTGCCAAATGTTCAACAGAAACTTTTTCAAAAAAAAATTATAATTAATTTAAAAAAATAAAAAGTTCCAAAATTTATCATTTAACTCAAATAACTATTTACTCAACATATTTATTTTTAGTCAATAATGACATGTATTGACTATTTCCATTCTAAATATCTTGAGAACGGTTGCTCGTAGAATTTTTACCAAGAGAAATTTTTTAAGTAAAAAATCACGGAAATGTATATTTTTTCACTCAGTAGTTTTATACAGGTACGGACGAAAAGGTATTACTCTTCAAAACAGTTAAAACACATGTAACTAACGCCCCCTACAAATAGGAGTCATGTTGACATCAAAATCAAATTTCTCATGTCAAAAAACTCCCAGACACCAATTTTCATCCAAATATTGACGTTACTTCAGAAATTATTTGAAAAAAATCGAAATAAAAATGAAACTTCTATACCCTGTATCTCCAAAACTAAGCATTTTAAGACATACATTTATACGAAATTTTTTACTTATTTTTATCTATATGCAGAATATGCTGCCAATGCAGAATATGCAGAAGATGCTGCCAAAGTTTCCGACAGATACAGATACAGTTCGGACCACCCTGTATATTGCTTAATACGTTTTGGGTAAGACTGACAGATAAAACGTTATGTGTAGACGGGGTTTAATTTAAAAATGATAAAAAACACAAATATTGGGTACACATAAACTGGTTATTATTGCCCCAAAAATATATAAATTATGATTTTTTTTCTTAGGATTTCTTACAACCGGGACCAATGATTCCAAGCTAATGATATAATTTATTGTCTATTCATATTAAGATTAATACTAAGATAAGTATTAGAAATAATATCGAAAGTGTGAACCAGTTTACTGTGATTTAAGTTTTTTATGTGATGTTGGGAAAAGACTTACAGGAGAGTTAGGATAATAGGCATAGTGGTCGCAACCAAAGGAGCCAGGAGCGTCATCAATGACGCGACTGCGTAGCGACCGCCCTTTGCTTGCGATTCGACGGTTCGGTGATCCATGAGCGCCAGCTTAGATATTTTTATTCTAAAGTTAAGAATATTTCGACCGTTTAACGCCGAAGGGGCGTTCGCCGGCAGGATATTGATGACGCTCCTGGCTCGTTCTTTAGTTGCGACCACTCTAGCCAACTAAGTTGTCATATATATTTTGTTTTCGGACAAGATCATGTGGAAATGTAAAAGGCTGAGTCTCTCCCTGTAGGTTTTCATACGTTTTGTTTTGTAAATTCGGAGGAGGCTTTTCCTATGATATGCTTTTGTGTAACTTGAAAATAAAAACATTATGTAGCCTTAGATGTAGTTTCATTACAAAAATTGTGTGCTAAATAAATATCAAATGCCCTCTGGACCATTATTTAAATGTGTTAGAAACACAATCTTATTAGTCTTAGAAACACAGTCAATTATTATTA